ACGATGGAGCATCATCCAACCATAAAGAGAAATGAAGTTCTGATACAGACTCCAGTGTGGATGAACCTTGGAAGCATGCTGAATGCAAAGGAAAGACACACACTGTATTATCCCGCTGACTTGAAATATCTAGATTAGGCAATTGCCCAGAAACGAATGTTCATTCGAGGTTACCAGGAGCTGGGCGGCGGGGGGCGGGGGGATGGCTGAAGGGGCGCTGAGTTTCCGGGTGGGGTGATGAAAACGTTTGGAAATGCTTAGAGGTGATGGTTGCACAAGCAGTAAATGTAAATTCGCTGAGTTGCAGTGCCAAATGTTCGGTTATACATATTTTACCACAATAAAAATTGTTTTAAAAGAAAGAAATGGAAGTTTTGTCAGCTGAGTCTGTCAAGTTTTCCAGGATGTTTTCTCTAGTTAATTCTTGAAATGTCTACTAAAAACAGCGCAATCTCTTCCTTTTTTGTTTTTAAGCTCCTTGGGACCCAGTGTGGATCTCCTGGTGGCCCCGCAGTTTGGATAAGGGTCACCACCAGGCACTGGGGCACAGAGCAGCCCCCCATCCCACCCCATCCCATGGGCACAGGATCCTGCCTTCCTTGCCCCTCTCCCCGGCTGCGAGAATGGGTGTGGGCTCCCCAACACCTCAGTGCTGGGCTGGGTCCCAGTCCCTGCTGTCCCTCAGGGGCCACTTACAGGGGTTCGCTGTTTCCTGTAAACCCCTCCCCAACAGCACCTGAGGCTCCCCACCCTGAGAGGCGGCTGCTCCTGCCTGTCCTCTAGGCCCAGGCCAGGAGAAAAGGCGCGACCACTCTACAATGACGGCGCACACGCTGGTCACTTACTGGACCGCGCTGGACGCTTCAGAAGCGTCTGCCGTCGTATCACTCTCGAGCACATAAATGAAGAGGAACACACAAACGAAGCACGTGGTCGGGGGCTCCTAAGGCTTCTCCCCCACCCCACCCCGCCTCGGCCAGCGCCCGCCCTTCGGTAGAGAGACATCCTACCGGCCTGGGAGCCCATCACCGCTGGGTATTAACACCAGGGCCCCAGGAGGTGGATGCTGCGGACATCCCCGGTTTACAGAAGGTAAACTGAGGCCGGGAGAGGGGAGGGACAGACCCGGACCACAGCCCTGCTCACAGACCCGGGGCGTGAGTCCAGAGGCTCAGCTGAGCCTCAGTTTCCTCTTTGGAACCTTGGACCAAGGCCGGGGGCGGGGTGGGAGGGCGGAGGGACGCAAAGGAGATTCCATTGTGCAGCCTGGGAGCAGTAAGTTTTCAAAACAAATGGGAGGAGCTTAGTAAAGGGTCCTTTGTAATCTGTTCTCGAATCCTCTTGACACTGCAGCTGGGCGTCCCGGCAGCCCCCCACACACACTCGCTCCTCAGCCCCCGCCGTCTGACTCGCATAGGCTCCGCCCCCCGCAGAAGAGGGCCACCCTGACCCACCGCTCCCACCTCACTGTGCCCCTCCGGAACAGGAGCAGTCCGCCCTGCCCCCAGTCTCTTCCACTGGCCTTCTCTGCTTCCTTCTCTGCCCTCCCCCCACTGCGGATTTGGGCTGAAGAAGGAAGTGTGAGAAGAACTGCGAGCGTGAGTGTGTGTATGTGTGTGTGAGTGTATGAAGGTTGGGTGTGTGTGTGTGTATGAGGGTTGGGTGTGTGTATGAGTGTATGAGGGTTGGATGTGTGTGAGTGTATGTGTGTTGGGTGTGTGTATGAGTGCGGGGGTGAGTGTGTAAG